AATCAAACTGGCAGCCCTGTTGCGCAGGCTCGCACTCTTAATCTAACTCTTAACCAACTGAGCCATTCAGCTGGCCCAATACTTTTGTATTTTTACTAATGGTTTATCTAACTCTCCTCTTTAGGGAATGTGTTGATACATTTAAAACTATTTAAAAAACACTCTCTTTGAGGAAAGAAGTATGAGAACAGTTTATTATCTATTTGTCAACAAATATTTGATGATGTAGATTAATAAACTTTATAGCAATGGACACAAAATTGCTACTTTTTAAATCACTCTTAGAAATCACTTATACTTTAGTTATATAAGGTACTGTTTGTTAATGAGGATAACTGTCAATATGTAAATTTTGAGGATATACATATATGTATAGATACACATATACCCTCTCTAGTCTATCTGTAGTACTCTCTCCTAGATGACAGTAAGGACAGAAAGAGCAATATAAACAGCACATGGCTATATTTGTCATAATTCCATATTAAAGAATGAATTTCTTATCAATTCCAAGTCTAAGATTTTTTTCAGACAGTGTGCCAGTGAGTAGTACAGGCAAAGCAATATAGATATATAACTGCATGACTTATTACCTACTTGTCTATGACCCAAGTCAGTAGTAGGGAACAAGAGGTATGCTCCATACCTAGAAACTCATTCCAATGTGCAAGCCCAAGTTAACCTCTTTAAAATTTATCTAATAAAGTTTAATATAGAACTCAAATTCTTTCTGTCAGTTTTTGTTATTAGCACAAATCCCCCTTAAAATCTTCCCTGGAGCTAGCTAGACCTCTAGTGGTTTCATTTCTTTCAATTACTTTAAAAATTGTGGTGAAATATACGTAACGTAAACTTTATCATTTTAAACATTAGTGATTTACCCCTCCTACAAGGAGACATTCGGCAATGTCTGGAGACGTACATTATTTGGTCATCACAACTGAGGTGAGGGAGCTGCTGGCGTCTAGTAGGTAGAGGCTAGTGATGGTGCTAAACATCCTACAATGCACAGGATGGCCCCCCAAAACAAAGAATTATCCAGCCCACAATAGCTCTGAGGTCAATAGCTCTGAGGTTGAGAAACCCTGGTCTAGAGCCAGACTGTTTGGGCTTTAATTCCAGCTGTACACCTTACAAGCTGTGTGTCTGTGGGAAGTTATTTAGTCTCTGTGTCTGTTGTCTATAAAATGAGGATAATAGTAGTATCTACCTCATAAGGTTGTTTTAAGAGTTAACTGAATTAAAACATTTAAACTACTGAGACGAGTGCCAGCATATAATAAGCACTTGATAAATATTATTTTATTTAAAAAATTTTATTTCTTATTGAATATATTCAATTGATTAAAGTTGATAGTTGATAAAGAGAAATATGTAGAAAAAGTTATTAAGAGAAAATTATACAAAGACACACATAAACCCTATTTTAAAATGGAGCATATGAAAATTTTGAATGAGAAAAACCTTTGTAAGCAATAATTACAGATTGTTATAATCTGTATTTTATCTACTTAATAACAAGAAATCAGAGGGCTGAACATAAAGTGTATATGAGTTAGTGCTAATTTGAACTTAAGCTATATTATATCTGAGCTTAAAGACTTATACAGCCAATTAAGTTATGATAGCCATTTCTAATATATAACCAATCTTTCTCTTAGTCTGTATAACAACCCTTCCAGAAAGATCCTTGGGAAGTCAATTCCTTGACTGGACCTGTAAAGTTTTGACAGGATGTGGCTTTTTTGTCTTTAACAAGTGTTCTAAAAAATAAGCTTTTAAAAAATATATAGAATTTATGGTTAAGTTTCTTTAAGCTCTAGCAAATTAAGCACAGATTATTATGCATGTACATTTAACTGTTTCATGGAGTATTTTCCTCCAAACAAATCAAGAATTAAAAAGTTTTATTTTAAATATAGATATGTCCTTAAAGAAGTAGATTGAAGGACTGGCCGAGTGGATCAGTTGGCTAAGAGTGTGAGCTCTGAGCAACAGGGTCACTGGTTCAATTCCCACATAGGCCAGTGAGATGCGCCCAAGTTGAACTGCCACTGAGCTGCCAACAGGTGGCAGGATGGCTCAGCTGGTGAGAGCACGTGCTCCTACAACAAGATTGCTGATTCGACTCCTGCATGGGATGGTGGGCTGTGCTCACCTGCAACTAAGGTTGAACATGGCACCTTGAGCTGAGTGGCCGCGAGCTGCCAACAGGCTACCAGGTGGCAACTGGACTTGGAGCTGAGCTAGCTGCACCCTCCACAACTAAGACTGAAGGACAACAACTTGACTGTTCCCCTTCCCTGATTCCCCAACACTGTTCCCCTTCCCCAATAAAAAAACCTTTAAAAAAAAAAGTAGATTGAGGCAGTGATATAATTACTATTATTGGTATAGTTCATAATTACTATTGTTAGTATAGTTCCATATAATCAACAAAGTCCTACCACGTACATGGTCACAATAGATCTTCATAAAAATCCTGTGGGGTATGTGGAATTATGTATCTCTGTTTTGCAGATGAGGAAGCTGAGGCTTACAGAGATGAAATAATTTTCCCAAGTTATAATGCTAGTAATTGTGAAACTAATAATTCAAACCCAAGACTCATAATGAATCAGTTACTATAATCCAGTGTGGGGTTTAAAGAAAATTATGAGGCTTTTTCTGACTTATACCTAACGTTTCTGAAATTGGTATAACAGAGCATTGATATCTCCTCCAAAAATGAACTTGGATGTAATGTCAATAGCAGAATATGAAGAGAGACCCCCACATGCATTACTTATAAATATTACACATAAATGTAATAAAAATGAATTGGATAACTTCGTCATTATTATAAACCTTTTATTTTTAAACTTTTAATTTTGGATAATTTTAAACATATACCAAAGTAGAGAGAATGGTATATGTAAACTACTATATTACCCATCACCCACCTTCATCAATAAACAAAATCATGGTGACTTAATTCATTTATATCCCTCCTACTTTTGTTTTCTTTCTGTGAGCTATCCACCATTTATTGTTTATTAAGACATGGCCTGTCCAAAAGGAATGATGTGGGTGTGTTCAAACACTCCCTTGCTTCTACTTCCTCATTGTAATTAATCTTTCCATCATCCTCTTATTCCTCTTAACGCATTTGAAGCACAACATTATCTTCTAGGTCTGGGTATGTGAAAGTGCAGGCCGATAACAGGAAGAGAGAATCATTTTTTTAGGGCATCAGGCACCCAGGCCTGACCTGTACAGAACTGCAGGCAAACCCAACCCTTTCTGTCTGCCGAGAGAGATCTGCTATGGTCCATGTACCACCTGACACCAGAGATTTGCTGCAGAAAGTTTTCAGCAGAAGCAAGAATGGAACATGATCACAGCTTTAGGTTGAATGGCTCTTGCAGTGATTCTTGCCCATGTTGCCAACATGGCTTGCTGAGCTGAAGTTATCACTTCAACTCTATTGGTCATTTCCTCTCTTACTCATCTTACTTTTCAGACTCCTTGCTCTCTTGGTCACCATCTTACATTTCTTTGAACTTGACTGCAGTGGCCTCCTGTGGTATTTTAGGAATATAAAAATATGTCATGACTTTCCTGATGACAATATATATATATATTTATTTGTTTGTTTGTTTGTTTGTTGTTGTTTGTTTGTTTGTTTTGTTTTGTTTTGTTGATTGGGGAACTGTTTTTTTTCCAGGACCCATCAGCTCCAACTCAAGTCATTGACCTTCAATCTTAGTGTAGTGGAGGGCGCAGCTCAGCTCCAAGTCCAGTCGCCATTTTCAATCTAGTTGCAGGAGGTGCAGCCCACCATCCCATGCGGGATTCGAACAGGCAACCTTGTTGTTAAGAGCACGTGCTGTAACCAGCTGAGCCATCTGGCTGCCTACCAGCAGCTCAGCAGCAGCTCAGCTCAAGTCGTTCAATCTAGTTGTGGAGTGCACAGCTTGCTGGCCCATGTGCGAATCGAACTGGCAACCTTGTTGCTTAGAGCACGCGCTCTATCCAACTGAGCCACCCGGCCACCCCCAGGAAGCCACCTGGCCGCCTCAGCAATATTCTTTACACTGTCACCATCCTCCTCACTCACTTGTTTTATTTCAGAGTAAGCATGTTCCTTGAGCCTCAGATAAACCTCTATTTTCTTGCCACTGGTACTCAATTGTTGGCACCAGTTCCACAAAGTGTCCCAATGCACTTTATTTATTTATTTTAGCTGAGCCATCCTGCCACCTGTTGGCACCTCAGCGGCTGCTCAGCTCGGAAGGGAATCTAACCGCTGTTGCTCAGAGCTCAAACTCTTGAGCGAGCTCTTAACCAACTGAGCCACTCGGCCGGCCCTCCAATGCACTTTATTTATTGAAGGCAAAATGGCTGTGAAGGAAAGGATTGGGTTTTGGGTAAGCTTCGAAATGTTCAACCATTTGAGGAAGATAACTTTATCATTTGTCCTAGGAGTCTTCAGGCTGGTTTCTGAGGTTGAAGAAATGTTTCGTTCCATTTGATGTTCTTCATTAGGTTCCTCATTAACTGGAACCAATGTGAGAATCACACTTTTTTCACCCAGTTCATCCTCAAAGAAATCCTTATCGCTGCTACCAGAATTTGAGCTTGCCATTTCCAGGAATACTCAGAGGACAGCAAAGCCAACACAGCTAAGGATACCCGCAGTTTACTCCTTTTAACCTCATCCCTTCTACTTTCTCCCCAGTGGACTATTTTGAGGCAGATTCCAATATGAATTTGTTATTCATATTCAATATGCACAATATTATTTTTCAAAAATAGCCATTTAAAAAATAATTACAACTTTGAAATACTGAGAACCTTAATAGTTTTCTAGAAAGTTTCCACTTAAGTTTAAGTTTTCCACTTAAAGTATACCAGTAGGCAACTTTTCCTGAGTTCAGAATAATCACATACAGTATGCTTTTAAATTCTCTTGGAATTTAAATGTCTAATAATAAACAGTAAGAAAAAAAGTGTTTTACCTGTCTTGTGCAGTCTTCTCTCATTTCTCCTTCTAAAATAAAAGATCACAACATTAATTATCTTAAAATCTAATAAAGGATTTAACAAAAATTGTTAACAGAAACTTTTAACATCCTCACTAAAAAGAAATACTTACAATAATCATAACTTAAACTAAAATACTTAAAACTCTGGAGAAAGCAATCACCAAACTTCAAAACAGTATGAAAGTATGAATTATTCTCATACACATACATGTGATGGCTAATATCTGCACTGAAATCAAATGAATAGACTATGCCTATACTATTCTTTCTGTTCTTAAAATGATGCCTTAAAACTTCCATGGCAAGCAAGTTTTATCTAAGTGTCAATTCTGGTTGATCAGTGGTAGTTACCTAGAGAACTGTGTTGAGAAATTTTATGAGGCCTTTCTTTTTTTCTCAATAACAAAGAATACTGTATTTGATTAGTGGGTTTTGTGCTCTGAAAGCAGTGATATACCTGCTGACCCTGGCTCAGTACATCAAAATGATACTTTTAAAAGAGGCATCCTTACTTAAATTTATATGAGAATAAAGAAGTGTCATTACTGTCACAATCTGATTTCTCATTATTGATGGATATTAGGTAGACATTAATGGACATATTCTCATCCTTGAAACAAGTAATTGTTGGTATTTATAAATCCATTATGGTTCGCCGAGTGGCTCAGTTGGTTAAGAGCGCGAGCTCTGAGCAACAAGGTTGCAGGTTGGATTTCCACATGGGCCAGTGAGCTGCGCCCCAGCTGAGCTGCTGATGAGCTGCCAACAAGTGGCAGGATGGCTCGGCTGGTGAGAGCACGTGCTCTTAACAACAAGGTTGCCGGTTCGACTCCTGCATGGGATGGTGGGCTATGCTCACTGACAATTAAGATTGAACATGACACCTTGAGCTGAGCTGCCCTGAGCTGCCGTTGGGTGGCTGGATGGCTCAGTTGTTAGTGTGCGCTCTTAACAACAAGGTTGCCAGTTCGGCTCCCACATGGGATTGATCGCAACTAAGATTGAACATGGCACCTTGAGCTGAGTGGTCACGAGCTGCTGATTAGGCGGCTGGATGGTGACTGGACTTGGTGCTGAGCTAGCTGCGTCCTCCACATCTAAGACTGAAGGACAACAACTTGGATGTTCCCTTTCCCCAATAAAATCTTAAATCAGTCAATCAATCAGTCAATCAATCAATTAATCCCAGTTATGTTTCTCTTCTTTTATAGCACTTAGTGCATGCCTATACCACTAATTTGGTACTACGCTTATGTTAACTTATTATTTATTTTCTTTATTTATTTAGTCTATCTTCCCAAATAGATAGATTATAAGCTTTCTAAAGCTTATCTGTAGCATCTTATTCCTCCTTGTAGTCCTAGCACCAAGAAATGCCTTGATGAAGATTATATTTCTATAAGAATACATGTTACTTGTCATTAATTCTAAATTGCTTGCTGTTTGGGGGCATTTTTGTATACTCTGTGATGTTTTGTTTAGCTACATAGTTAAAAATTTCATAACATTTCTAATATGATATGGAGCCATATGTGAAATCTGGTTTATAATGCTTTCATAGGACATCTGGATTTTAAAAAATAATAGATTGGGTCTTGCATTTAAGTAGATAAAAGTTTAAATCCTATAGTAAGATGGTTATTCTCTTCTGGAAGGTTTCTAGGAGTATAAAATTAACAATCTCTCTCAGAAACTGGTTCAACATTTTGTCTTCCCAATAGTCAATAAAGAATTCTTATGACTAAACAAAACAAAAACAAAACAAATTATCCTGCTTTAATTTAAATGTTTTTAAGAGTCTTCCATAGACCATAAGAATAGCTCAAGGTACTTTTTGTAGTTTTAAATGTAATTGTTATTCCTGTAACCTTGACATTTTTTAACTAAACAACTTTCAAAACTTTTTTTTTTTAGCTGATCCATCCTGCCACCTGTTGGCAGCTCAGCTCGGGCCGGACTTGAACCGCTGTTGCTCAGAGCTCAAACCCTTGAGCAAGCTCTTAACCAACTGAGCCACTCGGCCAGCCCTTTTCAAAACTTTTTTAATAGACACCAACTTTCATCATTTTAGTCATTGTCAGTCTTCCTTGAATCCATGCTGATTTTATCATATAAAGGAAAATTAACTTCCATGGGAAACATGTTTAGATGTGTAATCTAGACTCTAGATGGACATCTAAAGAGGTTGGTGTAATGAAGTGATTGCTTCTGACTCTGGTATGTTACAGTGTTAAATATGTACCACTTCTGTTTATTTTTTTCTCATAAAAGCCAGTGTTACTGCTTCATTTAGTTTCTTGTCAATTATGACAGTCCCCATCCCTTAATTGTATTTGTTTTAGTTTAGATGAGGGGCCCACATTATGTAAAGGGACAGATTTTAAGTATTTTAGGTTTGCAGGCCAAGAGGCAAAATCGAAGATACTATGTAAGTACTTATATAACAAGTGGGAAAAATTCTACAAATTTTTTATTGATGAAATTCAAACTACAATAATAATCGAGTACCATTTTTTATGATACACGTCTACTAATGGGATTAATTGGAATTCAAAGTTTCATGATCTCCCTCATCAAACTCAACTTCAAATGTTCGTCTGTTATTGCTGATCTCTGATGAGATTTTATGTATTTCACCTTTGAAAATGCCCTTTCTTTTTATATAGTTAATAATTTTTAATTTTCCAATTACAGTTGACATATATTACTATATTAGTTTCAGGTGTATAAAATAGTGATTAGATATTTGTATAACTTATGAGGTGAATACCTCAATAAATGTAATACCCATCTGATACCATACATAGTTATTACAATATTATTGACTACGAGGTCTGACAAGTTCATAAACTTGTTGCAATGATGTTGCTAACCTTTTTTGATATCAGAGGGATTATTCATTATGAATTTGTACCAAATGGACAAACAGTTAACCAAGTTTACTATTGGGAAGTGCTGAAAAGGCTGTGTGAAAAAGACGAAAACAACCTGAACTTTTCGCCAACAATTCATGGCTCTTTCTTGCATCATGACAATGGACCAGCTCACATGGCATATCTGTGAGGGAGTGTTTAGCCAGTAAACAAATAACTGTGTTGGAACACCCTCCCTACTCACCGGATCTGGCCCCCAATGACTTCTTTCTTTACCCAAGATAAAGGAAATATTGAAAGGAAGACATTTTGATAACATTCAGGACATCAAGGGTAATATGACGACAGATCTGATGGCCATTCCAGAAAAAGAGTTCCAAAATTGCTTTGAAGAGTGGACTAAGCGCAAATATTGGTGCATAGCGTCCCAAGGGGAGTACTTTGAAGGTGACCATAGTGATATTCAGCAGTGAAATATGTTGCATTTTCTAGAATGAGTTCGTGAAATTAATTGTCCTTATGCTACAAATCCTTTACATCCATGACTATTTTGTAACTACCAATTTGTACTTCTTAATCCCTTCCCTTTTTTTACCAATCCCCCCAATCCCTCCCATCTGGCAACCCTTAAAGTGTTCTCTGTATCTATGAGTTTGTTTCTGTTTTGTTCATTCATTTATTTTGTTCTTTTGATTCCACATATAAGTGAAATCATATGGCATTTGTCTTTCTCTGGCTGACTTATTCCACTCAGCATAATACAGCCTAGGTCCATCCATGTTGTTGTAGATGGCAAGATTTCATTTTTTTTTTATGGCTGAGTCCTTTGCATATATGTATCACTTTTTCTTTATCAATTCATCCACTGATGGACACCCAGGTTGCCTCCACATCTTGGCTATTGTAAATAATGCTGAAATGAACATATGGATGCATATGTCCCTTTGAAGTAGTGTTTTGGGTTTCTTCAGATAAGTACCAGGAAGTGGGATTAATGGGTCCTTCTTTGACTCTTGTTATAGCATTTGTTTTAAAGTTCATGGATCTCCATTTCTTTAGGGCTGGTTACTGGAACTTTACTAGTTTCCTTGCTGTATGCTTGGCACTGTGCAATACTTCTTTAAAAATTATTTTTCTCTCCTATCCATTTCCCTCAGATGCTGAAGTTGCTCTCATACACTCCTCCCCTGGGCTATACAGAAGAAAAACTTCATATAAAGCCTCTTAATGCCACATGCCTCTCTTGTCCTTCTTTGTATCTTCCTTTCTTCCAAATTTTGCATTTCAAAGTCTTAAAGACTTAGTTCAGCAGAATTGGCCCTTTATCAGAGGGAAAGGTAAGAAAATGAATAGACCAAGCTTAGAGTCATCTTTAGGGGACAGTGAAAAGGGGACATAGTGAGAACTTTGAAATATTAATTGCTTTTGTCCCTTCACAGTCAGTCAGTCTATGTATTATTTGTGCTTTCCATTTACCTAATTTCTTATGCACATTGAAATTGTACTTTGAAAGCCATCAACTCAGCTGAACATCTTGGCTGGAAGTGATCGCTGTTACTTTGTTATCCTTTTTTGGTATAACTTTTAGGGAGTATATTACATAGTTGCCTTAAATGTACTTACTAGGTACATTTCTTTCTTTCTGAATTGGGCAAAAATCATTCCATTTTTCTCAGAGGCCTTCAGGGCCTGGCTTCTTAAAGTGTAATCTCTAGGTTGGTAGCATATAAATCACTTGAGAGGTCTTTAGAAATTCTGAATTATGGGCTCCACCCAGGTCTACTGAATGAGAATCAACATTTTAACAAGATTACCACATTTATTTGTATGCTCATTAAAATTAAGCCTTTGTTATAATCAGTTGACTTGGTATTTTACATTGTACCAACCAAGAGCAGTTTTATAATACACCAACTAGAAATGCCTAGAGCTTTCTTATTTTTATTCTTTTACTGAAGCTCTTGCCAGTTATAACATTGCTTTCTGTTATACTTTGAATACTTTGGGTACCTTGGGTACCATTACCTTTTTTATTACACCTCTTACCCTTCAAAGATTCAGCACAGATATTTTTTTCAAGTTCATCCCTTCTGTCACATACTTGTCTGTGGTTGTAAGGGCTTTTGAAATTGGAAAAAAGGATAGAAAAGAAAATTATATGGTTAAATATGTTATAGATTAAGTATTGAATGTTTTCAAGTTTCTAAGGTTTTTAAAAATGTAATTAAAAAATTTCCTTGGAAACTGTCAACCATATAATCATTTAAATACCATATATGTTAAAAACATTGAAAGCTACTTTTAATTTTTCTGCCATTAAATATCTTACAGGACATTTTGAAGAGCAATTAAGTTCAACTTTAATACACAAATAAAAATATTTTACATATACAACTTTCAAAAGAAGTATCATGTGAGCATAAAATGAGATGCTCTGAAGTCCTGGGTATTACACAATTAAAGTGAATAGTAAAAGTTTTTAATTAAAATAAATTTTATTTTCTTAATTTTAAATGTAATCTATTACTATGTCACTATTAATGTATTACTATTATTGTAGAAAAACTAAAAAAACACAGAAAAAGAATATTAACATAATCCAAATATTGAGAGTTCTCATCTGGACAGTTAGCTCCTATATTTATGTATCTTTTTAAACAAATAAAGTTGAGATAATATTGTATAAAATTTTACATAACTCATTTTTTGGCTTTATAAATTTTATTGCTTAAATTACTACACCATTACTAATGGATTACTAATGGATTTAAATGGATTACTAATCCAGTTAAAATGGATTTTTAAAGATATATATTGTATGAATTCATGTTATTGCCACCACAATCAGAACACAAAATAGTTTCATCATGCAAAAAAAACCCTCATACTTTATAGTCACACCTCCCCTATTAGTATCCACTGATTTCTTCTCCATAACTATAGTTTTGACTTCAAGAATATCATATGGGCCAGCAGAGTGGCTCAGTTGGTTAAGAGAGTGAGCTCTGAGCAACAGGGTCGCCGGTTCGATTCCCACATGGGCCAGTGAGCTGCACCTAAGCTGAGCTGATGCTGAGCTGGTGTGAGCATGTGCTCTTAGCAGCAAGGTTGCCAGTTAGACATCCTTATGGGATGGTGGACTATGCCCCCAATCCCTGCAACTATTGGGGTGTCGGAAAAGTCATGATGCATTTTTGCAACGAGAAACATAGAAAAAATATGTCATGACTTTCCTCACAACCCAATAGATTGAAAGTGGTGACAGGACTTAGAATGGAGCTTGCTCCCTCTACAACTAAGATGGAAGGACAACAACTTGACTTGGAGCTGATGGGTCCTGGAAAAATACAATGTTCCCCTTCCCCAATTCCCCAACACTGTTCCCCTCCCCAATTCCCCAATAAAAAATCTTAAAGAAAAAAAAAGAATATCATATAATTTGAATAGTACAGTATAAAGTTTTGTGACTGGCTTCTGTCAGTATAATGCTCTTCATCCAAGATGTTACATGTATCAATCGTTTGTTATTTTTTATAGGATGGAACACTATTCCATCCTATAGATACACCAGTTTGTTTATTCACCCTTTGAAGGATATTTATTTTTCCAGGTTTTGGTAATTATGAGTAAAATGGCTATAAAATTCATGTACAGGTTTTTGAGTGATATAAGTTTTCATTTCTCTAAGGTAAATACTCAAGAATAGCATTGCTGGCTTATATGATAAATATATGTATATAAAATATATATATAAATATATTTAACTTTATAGGAAACTGTGTAACTGTTTTCCCAGGATGGTTCCACCATGTTGTATTCTCAGCAATCTATGAGAGTTCCAGTTGCTCTGCATCCTGACAAGTGCATGATATTGTCAGCATGCTTTTTGTCATAGACATTCTGATAGGTGTGAAGGGTATCTCGTGGCTTTAATCTTGCATTTCTCTCATGGCTAATGATGATGAATACTTTTTCATGTGCTTCTTTGCCATCCTTATATCTCCTCATTAAAGTATCTTTTCAAGTTAAATCTTTTGCCCATTTTAATTGGGTTGTTTTTTCTTATTGTTGAGTTGTCAGAGTTTTTTTATTATATATTCTGGATAAAATGTGATTTGCAAATATTTTGATATGTGATTTGCGATATTTTTCCTAGTGTGTAGCTTGTCTTTTCATGCTTGTAACAGTGTCATTTAAAGAGCAAAAGTTGAAAGTCCATCTTACCAGTTTTTTTAATGGGTCACATTTTTAGTGTTAGATCTGAGAATTCTTTGAGTAACCCCAGATCATGAAGCTTTGCTCCCATGTTTTCTTCTAAAAGTTTTATAGTTTTACATTTGATATTTAGATCTATGATTCATTTTCAGTTAATTTCTGAATAAGGTGTGAGGTTTCTCTGTGGGACTCATTGTTTTTACACTTAGATAGATGTCTAGTTGTCCCAATGCCATTTGTTGACGAGTATCCTTTCTCCATTGAATTGCCTTTGTATTTTTGTCAAAAAGCAGTTGGGCATATCTGTATGGGTCTCTTTCTGGATTCTCTGTTCATTTTCATTAATCTAGGAGTATGTGTCTGTCCTTTTGCTAATACCACAATTTCTTAATTAGTGTAGCTTTAGAGTAGGGAATTGCAAATCACAGTCCATGGGCCAAAATCAGCCCAGGCCTATTTTTGTATTGGAACACACCCACATCCATTCATTTACATTTTGTCAATTACTGCTTTCTTGCTGCAATGGCAGACTTAAATAGCTGTGACAGTGACCTTATGGCCTGCAAAACTGAAAATATTTACTAAATGGCCCTTTATAGAAAATGTTTGCTGACTCCTGCTTTAGACAAAGTCTAAGATCATGCATGATTCCTCCAACATTACTTCCTTTTTACAAAATTGTTTTTTTTCTATTTTCTTTGCCTTTTATATAAGTTTTAGAATCAGATTGTCTATAGCTACAAAAAACTCATCTGGGATTTTGATTAGATTTGTGTTAAATCTTTAGATCAATCAGGAAACAACTGACATCTTTACTATGTTGAGACCTCCAATTCATAAACTTGGCATGTGTCTCCATTTATTTTGGTTTTTAAAAATTATTTTAAGTGTTTTATAGTTCTTGGTATGCAGATTCTGTATATGGTTTGCTAGTGTTTTACCTAAGAATTTCATTTATTTTAGAGCTATTGCAATAATTTAAAATATTATTTTCCAATTGTACATTACTAGTATATAGACTTCATATTGACTTCTGTGTGTCCTGTGCTCTTGCTAAACTCACATATTAGTTGTAGGAGTTTTTTGTAGATTCCATGGGATTTTCTTGTAGACAATCATGTTGCCTGCAAATAGGGATGGTTTTACTTCTTCTTGACCAAACTGTATGTTTTTATTTTTATTTTTTTCTTTTACTTCCCCTAATGCACTGACTAAAACTTTCAGTACAAGGTTGTATAAGAGAGTGGACATCTTTGCTGTGTGACCAGCTGTGTTCCCAATATTAGGGGATATTCAGTCTTTCTCTACCAAGTATGATTAGCTGTAGTATTTTTTTGGTAGCTGATCTGCAGAGATTAAGGAAGTTCCTAGTTATTCCTAGTTTTCTGAGTTCTTTTTTAAAAAAATTAATGGCTATTAAATTTGGTCAGATTTGGTCAAATGCTCTTTTTTTGCACCAGCTGATCTGATCAACTAAGTTTTCTTCTTTAGACTGTGAATGTAGTGGATTTCATTGGTTGGTTTTTGAATATTGAATGAGCTTTGCATTCCCAGATAAACCCTACTTATTCATAGTGTATTATTCCTCTTATATATTACTGAATTAGATTTCTTAATGTTTTGTTGAGGGTTTTGCTTCTCTATTTATGAGTTTACTGGTTTATAAGTTTTTGTGGTTATTTATTTATTTATTTATTTATTTATTTATTTATTTATTTATTTATCTTTGGTACTCTCGGTAAGGGCAGCCTCAGAAAATGAGTTGGGACTTTCTGGACCTGGAGATGTCTTTTTCAGAGTTTTTTTTAAACTATAACTTCAGTTTCTTCAATAGTTATAGGAATATTCAGATCATCTGTTTCATTTACAGAAAGCTTGGTAGCTTATAGTTTTCAAAGAATTACTCCAAACTATACTGTAAAAGTTATGTGTATAGAGTAGTTCACAACATTATTATCAATTTAATGTCTGTGACATCTATTGTAATGTCCTCTCTTTTGTTTCTGATATTAATATCCCATGTCTTTTCTCCTTTTATCTTTGTCAGTCTGGCTCGAGTTTTATCAATTTCATTGATCTTTTTGAACAACTTTTCAACTTTTGATTTCATTAATTTTCTTCATTGTTTTTGTTTTCAATTCCAGTGATGTACACTCTTATTTGTATTATTTCCTTATGTTTGCTTTGAGTTTATTTTGATCTTTTTTTCTAGTTTTTGCATTTAATAATTTTTTATTTTTCAATTACAGTTGACATACAATATTATTAGTTTCAGAAGTACAATATAGTGATTAGACATTTGTATAACTTACCACCCTGATAAATATAGTATGCATTTGTAATATTTATTACAATATTATTGACTATATTCCTAATGTTGTACGTTACATTCCTGTGACTATTTTGTAACTACCAATTTGTACTTCTTAATCCCTTCCCTTTTTTACCCATTCTGCAACCCCCCTCCCATCTGGCAACCTTCAAAATGTTCTTTGTACTTATGAGTTTGTTTCTGCTTTTTTGTTCATTTATTTTGTTTTTTAGATTCCACATATAAGTGAAATCATATGGCATTTGTCTTTCTCTGTTTGCCTTATTTCATTTAGCATAATACCTCTAGGTCCATCCATGTTGTTGCAGATGGCAAGATTTCACTCTTTATTGTTGCTGAATAATATTCCATTGTATATATGTATCACTTTATCCACTCATCTATTGATGGACACTTCAGTCGCTTCCATATATTGGCTATGATAAATAGTTTTTTGAGATAGTGTTTTAGGTTTCTTCGGACAAATACAAAGAATTGGGATTACTGGGGTCCTCTTTCTTTGTCTCTTGTTATAGCCTTTATTTTAAAGTCTGTTTTGTCTGGTACAAGTATTGCTACCCCACCTTTTTTCTT